AGAGTTGTCAATTGTGATTAGGCAATTCTCAGAAGAGCTTATAGCCATCATCATTTGGAATGTATGATGAGTTCAAACCTCATATCTTTCAGTTTAATTTTGCAAGGAGAAAATGTGAGGCTACTGTAAAGTTATTTGAGGCTATATTTACACTCGTGGAAGAAGGAGTTGTATTATACTTTATTATTTCTACTTCTCTCCTTCTTTTCTTGCTTTGCCCCTATGCATGAATTATACCATATTCTGCACAATGTTTTAAGTGACTAGATCCTTTGCTGGGAAACAGTTGCAAAGGAAGTCTGTTATGGTTTGTGTCTGGATGTTCCCTCAAAGCCTCAGGTGGGTATAGGCTATTTTGGAGGTGGCCAAATCTAAAGTGTGTGACTGATTCAATGATGGGGCTAGGCCCAAGGGCACTAGAATTAAGGGTTGAGTGCTACCCACACTGTGCAGTCTGAATAAGAAAAGGCAAAATACAAAAAGAAAGAAGGGCAGAAAGATGCTGATAAGGCCCTTGTTGGCTTTGCTACCTTCTGGCAGCCACAAACTATTTCTCCTCTGCCATGATAGCCTGCCTCAGAGCCAGCCAATTTTGGACTGAAACTTCTACAAACTTTAAGTCAAATAAATCTTTCCTTCTTTAATTGTGGGTGTCTGGTATTTTGTCTCAGCGAAGAGAGAAAAGTAACTAATACAAAGTCCATCAAGCTTTAAGGCTTGTAGTAACAGAAAAATATCTCTTAACAGATTATGTCTCATATTTTTGGAAAAATAAACATTTAGGGAGCTGAACAAGCACATTTGATTCATCATCGCAGAGATTACTAGAACTTCTGATAGTCACTAAGGTCTGGTGCCACTTTTGAGGTAAGTTGGTAGTCAGTTTCTGGCCAGAGAGTACTATTGGAATGTCGAGTCCATAGCTTGTTTTCCCTTCAATTATTTTATATTTTCTTTCTGTTTACATCAACAGCGAAAAAAATTTCACTAACTTGAAGGGGAATGGAGACTCCCTCTCCCTGCAAAACTGCTTGCAGCACAGCTACTAAGTGGGGGAACAGCCTCAGTAGTTTTAGAAATGACACTCATTTGCCCTACAGCTCTCAAACTGGTCAATGAACCTACCCACCATGCAGAGCCAAAAGTGGCTAATAAAACACAGAGTTGAATCATTCTCTCTACACTGTTCTTAACTTACCCCACTCGTGTACTTAAAAGTTAATGTGCAGAAGCCGTAAGGACTCAGAGGAGCTCAACCAAATGGCGAGACTAAATATTTTCTTATACCACTTTCCTAGCTGTGCATAGCAGTATCAGTAGGTGGGAAGATAATTTCCTAATCTCTACACATGACCTTCCTCGTCTAAATAGTCGCTTTATATAATTCAAAACTCCTTTATTGAGATGTTAACTTTAATGGATCGGGAAGGAATACTACTTATCAAGATTAATGCATTTCCAAGGGATGGCTCAGGACATAATAAGTGTGCTTAATGTAGCCATAATAGTACTTACTTCAAGTTCTATTGCTTTTGGGATTTATATGTCAGCTTTCTCATCACTCCCTCACCCTACCCAACAATCCCTCCTCTCTACTTCCTCATTCTTTTTCTTTTCTTTCTCATTTTAAACAAGGAAAGTCTAGAATCTGGTTTTCCAACTAAATAAAGTTACAATAAATTAGTTGGCCTAAGCACCTTTGAAAGAAATAACTGAGAGTTTATCTTTCATGGCCAATTTAGATAATTCAATTTCTTTTTTAGCCAAATAGTCATCAGTTCCAAATATATGATGAGATACTCTGGCATGTACACATTTTTGAGTCTTTGTTTACATCAAAACCTTTATTTTTTGTATCAAGTCCACAGTACTGTCTACCAAAAAATGAAATTTCATCTTCCATATCTCAAAAAATCATCTAGAGAAAACATTTTACTTTGGGCTAATGGGATAAACTAAATAGGAATATTAGTCGATAATTCCTTTCATATCTGCTAGTGAACATCTGAAAGGATTAAGAGTTTTGCCCCATTGAAAAGCACAGAGTACCTTCTTTGTGCCTCTTAACATAATCCCACATGGTCTGTGTCTCAAAGATCCATATGTAGAGATTGATTTATAATCTTAAAAACCAAAGGAAATTCCTTTTCCAGGTCCAGAATGAGAGGCAATAAATTTCCATGTAAAGCACAGGTTTAGCACTCAGGGGAAGGGATTGGAATCCTGCTCCTCACAAAGTATAGGCATTTAAGCACTTAGCTACTCTCAATTCATATCTCTCTCAGGCAATAGTAGTCAATTAATATGTATCTACATGTGTGAGTAAATGTTTGCTGAAAGTAAGCAGGCTTTATGCAATAATTTTTATTTCAGCTACATCTAAAATTTTAATAAAAATTTCATGTTGATGTTTATTTATGACTCCAAATATGTTTTGGAGCCGAGGGATGCAAAGAACGTGCACCCACATGCATATTGTTGATTTGAGCATTATCAGAAAGAAACCTGGGACTCAGGGAGGAAGTTGCCTGTATTTAATGTTAGGAACTGAAATTGTAGCTAGGTTGCTTATTCTGGAGTACACATCAAAGTTAAGGTGAGATTCTGGGTCCTCCCAAGTGACAGATTGTGTTGGTCTTGATTCTATAAACTAAAAACTTCATCTGAAATTGAATGGCCCTGTAGTGTTGTCATTATGTGCGACATGGGCTCCTTTATATGAGAACCTTGCAGAATTATTAGAGAAAGAATAGAAAGATGTCGGTGAAAGCTATTCACATGCTGTGTCTGTACACTTTGGAGTAAATCATGGTGTTCTTCCTGCTGCTCGGGACTTCTCACAGCTTACAAAAATCATTAAGGATTCCATTTGCACCTCCCTGGTGGGAAGTTAAGAAATAAAATCATGCCAGCTAGTGTACATTTCAAATATTTACAACACCATGCTTTCACTCCAGGCAGAATCCTTACAATATTCCTCTGAGAAATGAGTGTAGACATGGACTGTCCCTTCCCACAGCCAGTCATTTATTTTTTAAATGTTTTATTTTATTAATACATATTTGCAACTCATGCAGTTTACAGTCATTTTGGGGAGTGGTTACATGTACATATAACAGCTTCTTTTTTAAGCCCTTTCCTCGTCCCTCTCCATCCTCCTTAATGTACTTGTTGATATTGTCTCAGCTCATGTTATGAAATATAATGTTTACATTGATTGGGTTATTAAGTTCCTATATATATAGCCCATTTTTATTGCTCTAATTTCTCCTTCCCCTCCTCCTAATGCATTGCCCTTGTTTCCTATTGTAACATCTGCCCCCTTGTCTCTTTCTATTCATCCATTACCATCTTCTTTGTCTGTACTTTGCCTCATTCAAATGAGAGATACCATATGGTATTTAAGCTTGTGTCCATGGTTATTTCACTAGATATTATCATTTCCAAGAGCATCCATTTTCCTACAAGTGTCTCAAATGTGTCATTCTTTATAGCCAAGTAATATTCCATTATATATAGACACCATGTTTTCTTTATTCAGTCATCTGTTAATGGGTATAAAGGATTTAGCTATTTTGAATTGTGCTGCTAAAAACATTGGTGTGTAAGCATCAATGTAGAATGATGATTTAAACTCCGGGGAATATACCTAATGGGGGATAATTGGGCCATTTGAAATTTCTAATTTCAGTTCTTTGAGAAATCTCCGCACTGAATTCCATAATGGATGTGTTATTTCCACCAACAATGCAGGAGGGTTCCTTTTTCACCAGTCATATCAGCATTTGTTATTGTTTGATTTCCTGATTGCCATTCTTTCTGCAATAAAATGGAATCTTAGCATTGTTTTAATTTGCATTTTTCTAATGGCCAGAGATGTTGAAGATAATTTGTTAACTATTTGTTTTTCTTCCTTTGTGAAGTGTCTGTTCATTTCTCTTGCCCATTTCTTGACTGGGTCTTAAATTTTAGCTGTTTTGTTTTGTTTCATTTTTAATTCTTTGTATATTTTGGATATTAGTCCTCTGACTGGGGAGTAGCTGCAAAGTTTTTTTTTTCTTGTTCTGTAAGTTGTCTGTTCACTCTACTGATTGAGTCTTTTATTGTACAAAAGCTTTTTAGTTGTTATAATCCCATTTGTTGATTCTTGCTGCTATTTCTTGAGCCAGCAATTTATTAAATAAACTTCTGAGACACTTCTTCCTCTGCTAGCTCCTAGAACCTGATCTCTTTTCCTCTGATATTCAGGCAAGAGAATAAAGGGGAAAAGAGGAGAAGAAAAAAGAAAGGGAGTAGTCTTTCAGAAGAGAGAAAAGGAAGAGAAGGAAGTGGGGAGGGGAGAAATCAGAGGAAATGGTGACTGGCATTCAACAGTTGCTCAGTAAATATTTAATAAAGACTGAGCTTCCAGTAGCATGGTCACTCTCTGAATTCCAGTTAACCTGTAGTTTCATTAACAAGGGGTAAAGAGAATTATGATGGTCTTTGAGTATTCTCTTTGAAAGAAAATATGGAGAATAGCAATCTTCAGTGCTAGTAAAAATCACTCAAAAGGAAGTGAGATTGCCCTGCAGCACGAAAGAGGAAAGGTCACACAAAAAATATTTTTCTTAACAATAAAAGTTGTGACATGGTAGTAAAAGTTAGTGGAAATGACTTTGAGATTTCTTTCCTGGGATAATTTTTAAAATTGAATACATTTTTACCTTTTAGGGATGGTTACAAAAGGCCCCACTGAACAAAGCTTACAGACACATCAGGCTTTGTGTCTCTAGATAGAAGGACACATTATGGGCAATATCAGTCAGAGCAAGAAAAGGAAAGGGAAAGAAAAGTCCAATGAGAGCTTCTGGGTGTGCAAGTTAGCATGCAGATTCCCCCTGCCACCCATTACATCATCAGGCTAGTGCTGTTCTGGAAATGCAATAGCTGGTGTGACTCTGAACCAGGTCGGAACTGAAGGGCTACGTCACTGACTTTGTCACTATTATTAATGTCAGGAATCACCACAGTGCTGACCATGTCCGCAATCATCACTGGCATGGTGCCTCCATGCCCCAGGTGTCCTATGTCAAGGCAGTGGATGTATACTTGTGGGTCAGCTCCCTCTTTGTGTTTCTGTTGGTCATTGTCTATGCAGCTGTGAATTACCTCACCACAGTGGAAGAGCAGGAGCAATTCAAGAAGAAAGGAAAGGTACCACTTTGCTTTGATTATGAGATCCTTTTTGGAATGTGGAAAATTCTATGCTCTTATCTAACCCTCTCCTGATGATTCTACAAGCTTCTGTGTTAAGTCCTTATGCTTTCGTAAGATGCAAGTTTACAAGATGGTTAAAGTTTAATATTGAACTTCAATCTCTGCTCTGTGATGGCTGGTTTCCTTAGCATCCTCATTCACCTTCACCAGGAGATTTTGTGTTTTGAAGTGTTACTCTCAGTATGGTTTTCTCCCCTTGCCTGTACCCCTTTGAAAAGAAGGGATTGATATACAAACCACAGCTTTAAAGTGGGTAGTGATGATAATAATAGCTAACATACAATGAGTGTTCAGTATACATTGGCCTATGGCAGTCACCTAACATACATTATCTCATTTAATTCCTACAATAACCTCTAACATGTATTAACTCATTTAATCCCCATGATGGCCCCAGCGGTCAATGTTTTATCACCCTCATTTCACAGAGGCAAAATAAGACAGACAAGGTCACACAGCAAGAGGAATTAAGATTTGCTTCTGGGTCTCCTTGACCCAAAAGCTGTGCTCCCAACCAGCAAATGACATGCTTCTCAAGATTTATTTTTCTCTTTGTCTCACTGATAAGAGTGAAAGAGCAAAATGGGAGGTTCTTCGCCTCACAATATCCTAGAATTAGTGTGCCTTTTGGACTCTAGACGTTACTTCATTTTTGTGGTGTTGTTTAATATGGCTAAATCATTCTCTGTCTGCTTCATTTCATGGAGATCTTGGCTACCAGTTCCCTCTTCTAATGAGAATTGACCTAAGATATTATACTGTAGGAACCAAAATGATTACTAATCATTCATTTGCTAGACTACACTTAAGAGATTCTGTGTGTATATAATTTTAATGAATTATATCCACATTGGCTTAATAAATTCTTACATACCCAGAACATTATTTAAATATTTTTAATTTCTAGTGACACCACTTCATATCTTCAGAGTGTTTTTATTTCATCTCTCCCTACTGAAGCTTCATATCAGCTCCCCAGTGTGGGGCTTGTCGAGATGATTATCTCTGTATTATAAACGAAGAATCAGAATTTTATTGAAGTAAACTGTTTTGCCAAAAGACTCACAGCCAACAAAGTTGCTGCTGCAATTCAGATCTCCTAGGATGCTAACTTCATTGTTTCCTTTGATATTGAGTCAAACCTCAGAGGAGCTGATTTTGTTTTATTACAGAGGCTTCCATTCTTTTGTTGACAGCAGCTGGCTATGTATCACACACATTTTGCTATGCAAATGTGAGGAAAGTGGATATTTTAGACCCGTGTGCTCCAGTGATACATACACATCACCCACTTTCTCATTAACCTTCTGACTGAACTGGTCTGGGGTATAACCTGAGAGTCTGCATTGCTAACAAGCTTGAGGTGATGCTGATGCCACTGTTCCATTACTTACTCTGCAACTAGCAGTGCTTTGGATAACCTGTAAAGTAAAAGATGACAAAAAAATTGATAAAGAGTGAAATCACTTTTCTTGTTTTGATTCAAGTATTACTTAACCCAAGAAATAGACATCAAAAAATTTTGGGGCCATCTCTAACTAGTCCATTGACTCCCAAATACCTACATTTTTCCTGCCTTTATCTGCCACACAAATGTTTTCACACTAACTGATTTTTTTTAACTTGAGGAAGTGATATACATCTTCTTGTGTACCTAATGATAAAATTTTTAGTAAGTATTTTCTTTCTCAAATTTTAGGAGTTTTTATTTTTTAAAATACATATAATTTAGAATTTACCATTGTAGCTATTTATAGATCAGCAATGTTAAATATATTCACATTGTTGTACAATCTCCAGAGATTTTTTTCCTTGCAAAATCGAAGCTCTGTATTCATTAAACAAAACCTTATTTTCTCTTGCTCTGTGAAGTTATCTTAAAGAAATGTCCTACTTGTCATTTGTAGATTGTAGGATAAAAGAAAAAAATGATTTAGAGTTAAAAAGGAGAGATGCCAAACTGTACTCTGTCACTTTCCAGCTTTGTTTTTTAGGCTGTCTCCTAAACCTCCATTTGCATTCCCAAAATGGTATAATTTCTTGCCAATTTTCCTTAAAAGACTGCTGTGAATGTCAAATGATATAATAATGGATCTGAAATCTTGGTAAACTATAAAGTGCTATACAGATGTAAGTTCTTACTGTGGTTAGTGTAAGAGGCCTACACACTGAAAGGAGTTTTCATAGATGGTACAAATTGGCAGCCTAAGATGAGAGGCCTTTGAACGGATATTAAATCCTTTATGGATGAGGGCAGAAGGATACATCTGCAGGTTTAGAGGATAATCAGTGGTACCTCTTCTCTCTATTTCAGTTGGAAATCAGTTTTAAAAAGAGAACAAGAATTGGGAGCCAGACAGATGGGTACAATAATGTCACCTCCATTTTTAATAAAGCAGTTTGTTGAATGTTGCTTAGATCTGTAAACAGAACAGTTCACTGTAGGTAGAAGGGAAAGGGTACATTACCAGAACCCCTGCAGTGGGTCCTGGTCTCCTGTGAGCCATGACAGCACAAGGCAAAATTAAAGAATAAAGACAGGAAACAAGACTTAGGAAAGAAGCTGGGTTCTGGGCCTAATCAATGCTGCTCTGAGCAGCAAAGATGAAGGCAAATGAGCTTGCCATTATTTACTGGGTTCATAGGGAGTAAGAGATGACTCAGAGGGTGATGACAATCCTAAATTGACAAAGATCTTATAATTGGAGGAAGCGTCAGATGTCTCAGAGGGTGTTGGTAATCCTATGACCATGAGGATCTTATGCTGATAGGGATCTTATGTTGATTGGAACAGTAAGGTGAGCAAAGGTGTTCTTACAAGAGTAGGTGAGATGAGTTAATCTGATAAGGAATCTGCCCCTCTCCAAGTGAAAACTTTCTTTTACTACTCAGTTCTCAAGGAATGAGGATGTTTTCAGCTGATATAATCTTGCTCTTCAGTGTCACAGTGTCATCAAGGGACCACTGAGGTCTCAGCTGTGACCAGAGGCCAAAATGGGGTTATGCTTTGGCATGTGATAGCTGGCCTATAGGCAAGAGAACTAGGACTAATCATAATTTAATTGTGAAGTGATTTTCCCCAAAATTATATAGAATGGCTCCCAACAGTTCATTATATTCCTTGCTGAATTAAAAGTACTTACTCTTTTTTTTCTCATTGAGTTTATTGGTACATTTTAGGTATACAGTACAGTTACATTCATCATTGGGCTCTTGTAAAAGTACTTACTCTTTTGGTCACTGGCAAAGCTAAACAATTTAGGGTTCTCCCTATTATATCATTTTACATCATTTTGAAGAACAAACCTGAACACCAATTTGAATGCTGAAGTCAAGCCTCAAAAGAGACTGGTCCAAGCATGCTAACTCTTTCCCCTAAATGCCAAGGGAGAAATGAAAAATGGATGGTAAGGAAGGTGTAGAATATTAGCCCAGGGGAGTTCCTGCCTATAAAAATATGCAGTCAGCCAAAACTCCTTTTCTACCACCACCACTATCAACCACACCCATCTGCCATCTCCATCACCATTACAGAGATGCGACACTCCCATCACCCTCCACTGCCATTCAACCAAATAGCACCTCCCCTACCTCTACCATTGCACACCCTCCAACCACCCACTAAATACTAAGAACCAGGAGAACACTGAGGCCATGGAATAATTTTCACTAATGTTGACTCTTCCCTAGAAAAGAGGAAGGAAGCTATATTTTTATTATTCTTTTCCCAAATGTTTTTTCTAATTTCAGGACATAGAACTCAGTCTAAAACAGATCTGTAGTTAAGACAAAATATACCTTGTCAATGTGCTAATTTATGGCCTGCAATGAAAAATTAAAGACCAATTTTAAAGCTGTTTCTGTTGCACAACTGACATAAACTTGTAAAAAATTGAAGTCTTTTGGTAACTTGTAGGATGCAAAATTTATCAATTACATAGATAATTCTACATTATTATAATGAAGAATTAGAATGGCACTCTTATTTTTCAAAGATTTGTTTCTTTTAATGCACCGACATTTTTATAGATAAAAATAGTGGATGGATGGGGATAGTTCAGCAGTGTTTTGAGTATCTATCTAGGAAACCAGTTAAGAAGAGTGTGTATAGTTTTTCCAGGGTCAGATCCATAGTTGAATACATTAGTAATATTATTGGCTACCTCAGATTAGTTATTTACTTTGATCACTTTGCATTTTATTTTGTCCATTTTATTTTACATGAAAATTTTCTGCAATTAAATAAAAGGACAATGTATTTCAAATTACGAGTTCCAGGTTAGTTCACTGACTGCATTCTTTGAATTCAGTAAAATATTAAGTTTTTAATTCCCAGTACTGGGGAAAAAAACAACAATGAAAATATTACATTTTTAAATTGCTATGACCCAAATAAAGGTTTTGACAGAATTTACTCTTTAGCCTCCAATTTGAATTCTGGATAATTTCATCTAGAGTAGCCTCTTCATATTTGCTTAGTTTTCAACTTCCCTATAGATCAAGAAGTGATTTTATTTTCACAGAAAGCAATCACTAACAGCTGGTTCCTAGACACTGTTCTATATTACTGAGATCTTCAATCTCCTCCAGAGTAAACCCTGAAAGACAATTTTTGGTTTAGATTCAGTCGGGCACTAGAGCCAGTAAGCACTGATAATTTTCTTCTTCAGAAAAATAAGTCAATTTCATGTTTAATTGAGCTATATTAGCATCATTCATAGATAATTTTAAGCAAAAATAAGATGACCTGGCTGATTTGCATTTTTAAAAATCAGCTAAAATCATTCCCTTGCCAATCTTTAATTTAAGCATATATGGGTTACCTGATGTGATTATTCTCTGCTTTTGAGCAAAAACCTCACTGACTAGGCCCTGCTACGTTCTCCCTAAGGAGAAAAATCAGTTGAAAAGCAAATCCAATTGACTTATATTGATATTCCAGTAAATTATGTTCAATTTCAACTCATAAACTTATGGCAAACAATCCATACTACACAGAAATAAAGAGGAAAACATGCATCCACTATAACAGTCTGTCAGATCAGGACTAAATTAGAAAACATTGATTTTATAGTTGCATATATTTTACTTTTATGATGCTCAGATACCTTTGTGGAAATAAATATAAAATTCATTACTAAATCAAGATCCATAAAACGATGTTCTCTGTTTATTATTAAAGTGACTTTTAGTGAGGCACCGAAGGCAAAACCAAAATTCTAAGAAGTAAAACATTTTTAGCATTTATAAAAATTATTTAAAAATTTTTATTTACATTTTTACTGTAATTCCTATTCATAAAACTACATTCATGGCCTACTTTAAAGAAGTTTTTATGACAGATCTCTGGAATGTACAATATGGATGCGGTGCAAACCGTGGCCTTCAATGCTGTTACCATGACGGCGAGACGGACATGGACCAGAATTCCTCTTGTGTCCACTCTGAAGAGGACTGTATGAGAGGGAGATCCACAGCATCCCCAGCACAAAGTCATCTCGGATAAAGACAAGAAAATCCCTGGAAGGAATCATCCTGAAAAACAACCATGCCATCGATACCTATTCTAGAATTTTATTTCCCATTGTATATATAATCTTTAATCTGTTTTACTGGGGTTTATATGTATGAAGATTGCTCTCTCTCTCTCTCTCCCTCTCTCTGTCTCTCTCTCTCTCCTTTCCGATTAGACAAGTGCGCTGTATCTGAGCCACACCCCCTAGCCTGAAGAGGAATTCCTAATGTATAAAACTTGCATTGGAATCACATTATGTTGATTTATAAACCTTTGAATATAAGTTGAACAGTGTAGATCGAACTTGGAGAGATGCAGTCACGTCTCCTGGCCTAAAGAAGATTTGAGAGCAGACTGGTTGAAATCTAGGAAAGTGTTCAAAGTCCTAGGAGGATTTGACATCATAAATTAGAGTTACAGGAATGTGTATTATGGAGAAAATTATTTTCCGTATAGAATAGCTTTTTAACTACTTCATCTGGACACTTCTCTATTAATGAAAATGTTCTTTATTTAACTAGGGAATAAAGTTGGACTATGACATTAATTGAAGGATAATTTATTTCTTAGTGTCAGACTACCTAACAGGTTTATGTCCTCATAGGGAAAAACATTTTCATCAATGTGGTGGTATCCTCTTATGAAGGGCCCAGTCAAACCTTTTGTCTTCGTCACAAATTATTTAGTCAGAAAGGGGAAAATATCTAAACTTAACTCAGTCTTCTCTCTTAATGTATGTGAATTCATACTTCAATCATCAACAACAGCATCTAGTATAATAAAAAACCACGATTACCTGGGAAATGTACAAGAGACAGACAGCATATGACAGTTATCTCATTTCAATTTTTACTTCATTTGCTGATCACAATCCTGAACAGACTGTACATGATGTTCACCGAGGGATAAGCCTGGATAAAATATGAGGATTTTGAAAATGATCTGCTTTTTCAGATTAAGAAGCTAGCCAGCCTAAATATAGAAATGGGCTGTTTTATACAGACTGAACTAAAAAAAGAACCTATGAAAAAGTAACTTAGTTTTATTGTTTTTGTTTTGATTAAATAATAGTTTCATTATTTAAAAAATTAAATAACCAATTGCCAAAATATTCACCCAGAATTAAACAGTTACAATTTTAATACATATTCTTAGAGATTTTCTTTGCATAACTTATTTTTCCTAATGAAGAATTCTGTATATATATTTTCACTTACTAATTTTGGCACTTAAATTATAGCAACCCTGTGTAACCCTTATTAGTAAACAAACAATATTTAGAAGTAAAATTATCTTAGAAGCAATGAAATTTTTAGCCATATTCAAATTTCAGCATTTATTTCTTTTATTAGAATCCCTGTTTGCCTTAGAAACTGCCATATGAGATTATTTGACCTTCTCAAATGTTCTGGAAGATAGATTACTGTAACAAGGAACTGTTTTATTTTTATTTCATTATTGCCTGAAGCAGAGGTGATACCCCTTTCCCACTTCACTCTACCAATCTTGATTTTTCACTTCGAAAAACTAGCTTCCCATTTTTATACTGAAAACTTTGGCATTGTATAAAATGGTTTTATTAAAACAGTTCTACATATTATGACGTTCCTTTCTTTCATGACTATTGCCACTGCAAGCTTTTGCCATCTTGTAAATAGGAGGATAAGTGGAATTGCAAGTATTTTTACACAATTTGCCACAGAGTCAGAATCTGTGAGCGTATAATCTTAATCCTTGTAGGTGAGTTAGTTGTGATGAATAATGTGTATCATTTATTGTGCCACTCAGACCTATTAAAATCACACACATGTACACTTATTTTTTAACATGGAGATGAATGAGAAAAGAAATTTTACCTAATTCTATAGTCATTACTAAGGTAAAAATTCCAATGAAATCAAACAATGCAAGAAAAGAAGCATGAAAAAGGTGCTATTTCAACTATAATTCTCTACCATCACATATTTTTTCCTGGCAGGCACTTAGGCAAAGAAGTGAGTGTTATACTCCCATTACCTCATTTATGGAAAGAAGCCAGTTATTCCCTGTAAGCCTTGCTTTAAAACACTATTATTCTATACATTTCTGCTTAATTTCAAAGGTGTATCACTTCTCAAATGCAGTTTGACTCCCTTACCTCAATTTAAAAAAGAATTTAAACATTTTTTCTTTCCTTTAAAGAAATCAAAAGACACACTTGCTGGATATTTAAGGAGTTTGTTTTATTCAAGATATTGCAATAGGAATAACATATATTAATGAGGAACATCCCAGAGAAAAGGAAGGGACCCAAGAGTGTCAGAGGCAGGAAAAATGAATATGTCATACTCAATACAGTATAGTATGTAAGAGCACAGTGATCCTTTCTTAGAGTAAAACATGGTAAAAGGATTTCTTGACCTCCACTAGATTCTAGAAACACAAGGGCCCAAAGTTCAACATTGTACTGCCTATATTGTCATATGATCTTCTGTTTCAACCTCCTGTCTATCATTAGTTTTTGTTTTAGAATGGGACCAAGTGAGTGTATAAGAGATTTCACAAAGTTGAGAAAAACTGTTAATACTTTTCAATCTATTGAAGCATACTTTATTATATGAAACACTGAACTAAGTTTTATTATAAGGTATTCAAAGGATGAGGCAGTACTTTTAGTTCTAAGAACAATTCAGTTCACTATAGAAATGTATTTTCTACAAGAATGCTTCTTTACAAATGGCAGAGCAGTGAGTGTCAGCAACTCAGCTTCTCCAGGAAAAAGCATTTAGTCTGGAAAACATTAGCTTGGAGAAGAACCCAAGTGAGTGGAGGGGACACAGGAACCCTGGAGCTGGAGCTGACAAAACAAATAGCATCAACCTTGAAGAAAGACCATGCTGCAGAGGGAGTCTGAGAAGCCACACTCTCACCAGCAGGGGGAACCCGCAAGCTCCAGCGGGGAGGCAAAGTGAAATATAATTTTCCTGCTCACAAAGAATTGGAGAAAGCAGGAAGAACATGAGACACTGCTTCCCCAGAGGCTCTTCAGTCAGCAGTAGGTGACTGAGTGACTGCAGCACAAGCACCAGAGGACTCAGGTGCATGGAGCAGGAGCTGGCGAGGTTGCCCTTGTAGGGACGGGCTGAATGTTTGAACCTTGGGGCCAGAACAGCCCTTTGACTGCTTCACACTGCCAAGTTCCCAGAGGGGATGAGGGAAGGACGGTCACTGGAGAGACTGCCGGTAGTTGGAGCAAACTGAAGAGAATCCCGTTGAGAGGTGGGGACTGGTGATCATAGATTCAGCTCCCTCGGTTGGAGGCCAGATTCAGCCTGCGCTACTTAGGATCGATTGGAAGCTCACATTAGAGCTGAGTTCCCACTCTAAGCAGGTCTCTACATCCAGCACCTTCTGGGGGAAGACAGCCCCGAGACTTGCAGCATGAAAAGAGAGAGACACGTCCTGGCCTGAGCTCTGCACCTTAACCCGTGCCTGAGCAAAGGGGCCACGTGTCCCAAAAGTAGAAATTTTCTTTTACTGTCGCGATTTGATTGTATTATTTTTTTCATTTTTACTTTACTTTTTATTTTTTTTTTTTACTCTTTGCTGTTTTCCTCCTTCTGTACATTTCCTCTCGCACTTTTATTTGATTATTTTATTCCATTATTTTACCCCTCCTCTTTGATGAGAACAGATTAATGGTGTATATGTGCTTTGATTACTCTTGCCTCTTCTCCCTCCCAATACAGTGTATAGAGGGTAAAAGAATTCTTCCTCGTCCACTTATGTCCCTCCTACTTCTACCCATCTCTTTGCCTGACCTCTTTCGCCTGGGTTTTATTCATTCTCAATTTACTTTTCTTTCCACTCCAGCTTTTCAGTTGTCTCCCTTAAACTTTTTCTCAAATATGTGTATCAGTCATAGAATCTTTTCTCATTCTCATTTCCCACTACCAAGTTTGTATCTAGTTTTCCCCGATATTTCTTTGTAAATATACAGCGACATAGTCAATATCAATAGGATCCTGTACTTATCCCCTTTTCCTCCTTCCTATACCACAAAGCAGAGGACTTTAAAAAAAAGTTTTTCTTTTTCTCTTCTTTTTCCCCCTCTGGCATTATTCATCTCCAATCAACTGTTGTTTACATAACTGATTCTATAAAATACTGTTGAACGCTGTTTTTCACTAAGGAGACACATCATATTTTGTGCGCATTAATTGTGGATCAAGACTTGGGTTGTTATGATGCTTACACTATAGCTGTAGATTTCTTCTCTAGGCTACAGGGAGACCCAAAACAGTCTTACGGCATGTTTTTTCTCAAATAGCCATGACAGATACCACTGTAATGGATTTGCCTGTTACTGCTGTAGTTGAAGTGATTGAATAGGAATAATCCTTACTCAGTGGACAATTTGGTGGCAGTGAATTTCTCTGCCAAGTCTACCATCACACTCAGGCAGGGAGAGGGACAGTAAAGAGTTCCAGATCCAAGAATTCAGACTATAACTTTGCAAGAACGCCTGCAATATGGCAAAACTAACCCATCCTTAGTCTGAGTTAACGTCAGTATTATGGTGGAGGGAATGTCCAGCTTGTGTTCCCATTAGACATCTTATTAGGTTATTTTATATGTTTCTTGATTTATTTAGTAACATGGTGTTATGTTCATTTATAGTTTCATGTGTTTATTAGATTATCACTCTTATACATTTGTTCTTTCACTGGCTGTCTAGGTTCTCTCCCTTGTCTCAACTCTATATCTAGTTTCTTCACCTCAAACTCCTAATACAATATTGTTAACATATTTTATTATTCTTTTTCCAAACACATAAACTTCAGCTCCCAATTTTTAAATTTCCTATACTTATCTCCTTTACAGTCATTCCTCTTTTCATTAGTATTATTTTCTCCTCACCCTAAGCTTCTGGCTCTTTCATAATTTACCTAGCTTATTATCCACTGTAGAAGCAAGTTCTGATAACTATATAGCTTTTCTCACTCATAAAATCATTCTCCCTTTCTCCCATATCATGCCCTTGCTCCCAAAATTATCCTCCTAGAACTCTCAGTACTAAACCTTCCAATCAACTAAAAATACTCCAAGAAAATTAGACCCCACATCAGTCTTTTCT